GGGGAGCAAGGGAATGGAAAACTGGAGCTGGGCGAGGGATGATGCTTCCCGAGAGTGAAAAGGAGAAGAGAGGAAGGGACCAGGCTGGTGAGGGAGGAGATGGGGTCATGCATGGGGAGTGTGGGTGTGGCTGGGATTGGTGTGGGGGGCTATAAGTACCTCAAACCCCGTGGGGCAGTCAGCACAGCACTGCTCGGGGGCAGAGGTGGATGGCACAGCCGGGAATGGTGATGGGAAGAGCATGAACCGGTTACCAGCAAGTGCATGAGGCCAGTGGGAAAATAGCCACAGCACAGGTTTGAGTCCCATCCCTCTGGCAGCGGGAGTTTGGCTCGAGCAGTGACCCCTGCACCACACTGGGCACATCTCTCCGTGGTGGCAGCAGCCTGGCACTAAATTCAGTTGCAAAGAAAGGGTTAAACACCCCCCCATGCACATACACACCTTTCCCCATCTTCTCATGTTGAGGGGTGGGTGGTGTGTGAGTGCGTCAGGGCATCTCTGCCCTTTATTTTCAGATTGGACAGGGTATTTCCTTTCAAACTCCTGTTTTTTAGCAACTTTTTTGCTTCTCAAAAGCCAGCTCTGGTGGATTCTGGTGTGTTCAAAGTCTGACCAGTGGGGCCTCTAAATCAAGAGAGGAAAATGCAATTTTTGTTATTTTTGGAGGCCATTAAGGACCATCTGTCTGTTTGATGGGCACCTGGGGAGTGAGAATTTTCAGAGAGAGCCCATATGACCAATTTGCTGTGCTTCTAACCCCCTCATGCATCAAAATGCCAGAAATCATGTTTTTATCCTTACAAGAATGAAGGGCTGGTCAGGAGGGTGGCAGTCTGAGCTCAGCATAGCTATGGTCTGTAATTATTCACTGATGGCCAAAGGAGAGTTGATGCAGATGAGTACTGAAGCCTCAAGTCTGTGTTGCCCAACTGGTAAATTGACCACTGCCAGCTGGTGAAGTCTGAGTGCTGCTGGATTCTGTCAGAGCTCACCAAAACCTGGTGTAAAGCTTAAAGGATTTGGAAAACCTAAGTGAAGATGTGTATCATATCCTGTCTGCCCAGGATGGCAACAGGGTGGAGGAGAAACCCCTTTTTCTGGCAGGTGAGACAGACTGGGGCAAGGAGCCACTCGCCACAAATGGAGAGGGGAGCAGGTCTGGCAGAGCTGGGAATGGCAGGAGCAGGCTGGCTCCCAGGGAAGGGAGGACCATCCTTCTCTGCCAGGGCAGATGCTTGGATGGTTGAATAAATACTTTCAGGTAACAGGTTTCACAGGATCCACTTGTGGGCACCACAGACTGACCCTTGTGTACTTGGCATTTTCCTCTCCATGGTTTTTCTTTTCCTTTCCTCTCTTTTATCCAGACATAATCCAGGGGTTTTATTGTTTGTTTGTTGTTTTTTTTTCTATGCTAAAGACTGTTGCACTCTGATCCAGATGTCTCAGAACAGCTGTCTGCTCTAGCAGCCTTATGAAGCCATCTCCTGTCTGGCTGTTTTGAGGGTACATAAGCATGGAGAGAGGTCTATTGTCGAGTGAAAGTGAAAGCCCAAGTAGAAACTCTTGGGCTTTCTGTCAGGGCTTCTCCTCTTCTGCTGAAGTGACAGCATCCCTTATCCCAGGGTTTATTTATCCTTGCACAGAATCATAGAGTTATAGAATTATTTGGATGAAGGAATGTTAAAGATCCAGCTCCACTCCCTGCTGCCATGGGCAGGGATGCCATGCACCATCTCAGGTTGCTCCATGCCCTGTCCAGCTTGGCTTTGGACACTTCCAGGGATGGAGCAGCCCCAGCTTCTCTGGGCAACCTGTGCCAGGTCATCACCTCCCTCATGGTGAAGAATTCCTTCCCAATATCCCATCTATCCCTGCCCTCTTTCAGCCACTGTCCCCCCTTGTCCTGTCACTCCGTGCTGTCACCCGAAGTCCCTCTCCAGTTCTCTTGGAGCCCCTTTAGGCACTGGAAGTCGCCCTAGAGGCTTTTTTTCTCTAGGCTGAACACCCCCAGCACTCTCAGGCTGTCTCACAGCAGAGGTTCTCCCAGCCCTTGGAGCATTTTCGTGGCCCCAAGGGACATATTGGTAACAGGCGCTGAGGTCTGGTCATACCGGCTCGCTCTGGAGCTCCCATTGAGCGGACAGACCGTGCTCTGCGGTGCCCAGGTCAGCTCTCCGGAGGTACTGAACGGTTTCCCGAGGCGGTTTCTTCCGTCCCGGAGGGCATTCCTGCGTTCCCGGCCCCTGCCCGTGGCCGGCCGCCTCCCCGGGGCCGCGCCGCTGCGCCCGCCGTGCGCTCCTCCGGCGGCTCCTGCCGGGGCTCGCCTTTCCCCTCCAGATTGGTTTATATATATATATATATATATATATATATATAAATTTCTTTTTGCGTTCCTTCTTCTCCCACTCTTGTAGGAAAAGGAGGGAGGGGGGAAGGAAGGGAGAAATATTGTTTGAAATCACAAAGCGGGGCATCTGGTGCACCTTGCGCCTGGCATCTGTGCTCCTTGTGTCCCGAGCAGCGCGCTCGCACCGGGGCGAGGGGCAGGAGGGGCCGGCGTGCATCTGTTGGGCGCCACAATAAAGTCACAAAACAGCGGCGCGGGCCCGGCCCCGCCGCGCTGCCCTCTCAAAGGGGGACGCGGGGCTGCGGCTCCCAGGTATTATGCGCCGGGTAGGTAGGGCCGGGCCGGCAGCTGCTCCGCCGATCCACCCGACATATGGCAGCGCAAATCACGGTACCTCCTGAGCAAGCCGGCCGGAGGGAGCGGGGGAAGGATGGGGAGGCCCCGGGGCAGGTGCCTCTGCCGTGCGCCCGCCGCTGCCTCGCCGCAGCACCGGCGCGCACCGGTGGCCGCGAGGTGGGTGGTGGGCGCGGGGCGGCCGGACGCCCCCGGAGCCTGGGGTGACCCCCAGGATCGAGAGGGGACCCAGCCTTATCTGACCTCCCCTCTGCCGAGCAAACAGCCCCCGGCGGGCGGGTGAGCGGGCTGCGGCCGAGCCCCGGCTCGCCAAACGTTCCCGACGCCTGGCAGGCGAGGGATGCGCCGGGGCCGCTCTGGTTACCATATGTTTTCAATAAAATAAGACAAATAGGGCCGGGAGATAGGGATTGCAGTAAACCTGTTATAAAGCAGCATAAACCAGGCCAATGTAAACGGCAGCAGGGCCCCTCCTGGAAGGGCCGTTGGGTGCCAGCTCCGCACCGGGCGGCCCGGCCAGGTGTGAGCGGGAGCCCGCAGCGGTGCCCCCGCGGGTTTTTATCACGTTCGTGGTAATATGGTGCTTGTTATGCTAACTATGAGTAAACATCCCCGGCCGGGCTTTGTGGCGACGGGAGGGAGTTATCGGAAAGTGGCAGTGGGAAGGTGATTTAACAATAAAGTTGTCTTGTTTGCCAGCAGGTGATGTCTGCCCCCAGCCCCATGATTAATGCTTCCCAAAGTACTCCACTTTACAATCTCTTGTAATTATTTATTAAACGAAATCTATTTATTATTATTTTAGCAAACAGCGGTACCAGGTGGGGCTTTCTTTTCCTCTTCAGCTTTTGTTTGAAGGACGTTTGAAGTGGGCAGTCTGAGGCTTGGAAACTCGCTCGCCAGATTTTTTTGTCATCCAATTGCACAGGCACAAAAAAAAAACCCCAACCCCGCCGGGCCCTTCCTATTCATCCTCCGCTGCCCTCCGAGCCGCCCCTCGAGAAGGGGCGCCCGAGCCGCCGCGGTGGCCGCCCCCCTCGGCACCCTCCCCCGCCCTCCCAGCGGGGCCGTCCGCCCGCAGCGCGCTCCGGGGCGGGCAGCGCGCACAGCCCCACACCGCCGCGCACCGCGCCGCCCAAGGCCACCCCCTGGGGCCGGGGACCAGGCCGGCCAGGGGGAGCTGTCCCCCGCCCCGCCGCGGCCCAGCGGGGCCGCTCCGGCCGCTCCCGGCACGGGGATCCCCGACCGGGATCCGCCGCGCCGCTTTGGTGAAGGAGAGGGGGGACTCCGGCCCCGCCGGGGCTGCGCCCTCCCGGCGGCCCTGCCCGCACCCCCGGGGGCGTCGTGCCGTGCAGGGGGAGCCCGGCTCCACTCCTCCCGGCCCCTCGCCCTCCGCCGGGGAAAGATGCCCCGGGCCCGGGCCGCTCCCCGCCGCCCGCCGCAGCCGGTGCGCAAAAGTCCCCGGCACGTTTTGCGCACCGAGCTCCCGCCGCAGCGCGGCTGCCCCCGCGCCCCGGGCCGGGCCCACGGGGCGGGGGCGGCCTCAGGTCTTGGGAGGGCCCTTCCCCCGCGGGGTCCAGCCTCTGTTTCCCTCGTGGGAGCAAAGTCACGACGCGAGTGGGGGCTGGAGAACGGCGTTCGGTCCCCTCCGGCGCAGAGCTCACAGCTCCGCCGGTCGATGCGCGGGGGGCGCGGGGATGTTCGCGGCGCTGCAGGGGCGAGGAGAAGAGTGACGGGAGGGGGCTGGAACATCGGAGGGGATGTTCCGGGAATGCCCCGGGATGTTGGAGCAGCGGGAAGGGGTTGTGGCTGTGCCGAGGGGAGCGGAGCAGGAATGGCGCTAGCTGGACCCTGACGTCTGGCACCGGGTGCGTCCCCGGCCACTCCGGGGGGCCGGCGCTTCCCCGGTTACGAAGCCTAGTGCTGGGGAGCCCTCTGTCACCCTGTACTCCGCCCCGACCCCCACTGCACCCCGGAGAGTGCGGCCGCCCCGGCCGTGGTGCAGCCCCCACTGCGGGCTCTGCTCGGGGGTCCCGTCCCGGGGACGGCTGCGGGCAGGGCCGGGGGGTCCCGGCACGACGCGGCGTGGAAGCCAGCGAGGTCTCGCGTGGTGTGGTCGGGGCAGCGGGCGGTGCCGGAGCCGGCACGCTCCCGTCGGACTGATAAGATAAAAGCGTGCCAAGGGGTGGGTGCGGGCGGGGGGGCGCACACGCCGCCCGGCCGGGAAATCCCCATTGTCTGCCGGCCCTATATATAGGGGCTTAACGGCAGTCGTGTGCCGGCGGCACAACCTCCCCTGCCCGCACTCGAGGGACCGCGGAGAGCGCAGCCAGAGCCGCTCTTCTGCCCCGCAGCCTCGGCCGGGCTCAGCACACACAGCCGCGGGGGACAGGGCTCTCCCGGGCCGGCCGACGCGGGATTGGCTTCTCAGGATGGCCCCGCAGAGCGACCGCTCGCCGGACGAAGGGCAGCCGTATTTCGGTGGTGCCGAGGACCCCTCCTCGGCGGCCGGTGGGACCCCCGCGGGCAGCCGGGGCACCTCCCCGGCCCGCAGCGCCCTGGCCCCGCGGGACACGGCGGCCCGCAGGAAGGGGAAGGCGCGGCGGGGCCGCGGCAAGGCGCGGAGCGAGAGCTTGCTCAGCAAGCAGAAGAGGAGCCGGCGCATGAAAGCCAACGACCGGGAGAGAAACCGCATGCACCACCTCAACTCCGCCCTGGATGCTCTCCGCAGCGTCCTGCCCACCTTCCCCGACGACGCCAAGCTCACCAAGATCGAGACGCTCCGCTTCGCCCACAATTACATTTGGGCGCTCACACAGAGTCTCCGCCTGGCCGAGCAGAACCTGCCCGAGCCCCCCGCGCCTCCGCCGCCCCCCGCCGCCGCCTCCCCCGGGCCCTGGGACTCGCCCTGCCCCGCGGCCCCGCCGCCCGCCGCCCTGCGCCGCGGCCCCGCCGCCTTCCCCGCCTTCCTCTGAGCCCGGTGTCCCCTTTTCCCCCGTGGTGGCCTTCAAAGAGCCGGCGGGGCGGAGCGGGGCCGCCCCGCTCTGCGCACCGGGAGCCCCGCTCCCCCTGTCCCGATCCGCTCGGCTGGAAAGCGCAGCGGGAGCGGGCGGACAGAAACAAATCACGGTTTTGTACTCGTTAACGGTAAATTATATTAATTTGTCGCTATCGGTATTTATTGATTATATTTCGTAAAAAATATGTATTTTGTATATAAGAGTATTTTTAGCAGCGGTGATCCAGCTGTCTGTACCCGCAGCTGTATTTTAGGTTTTCTGAAGAAAAAGAAGAGGGAAAATAAAGCGTGTCGCGGCCAGACCTGTGCGACGCCGTGTTTTTATCACCGAGGGCTCTCCGGGGAGGGCAGCGCCGGTCCCGCGGGGGCTTCCTCGGGGCTCCGGGCGGTGTGGCCGCCGTGGGGTCGCTCCCTGGCAGGGGAGGAGCGGCGATGGAGAGCGGCGCAGCGGGTCCCACGCTCGGATTTAAACCCGGCCTCTCTCTGCAGGTGCTTTTCCCGCAGAGCTGCGGCCGCTCCCGTCCCACCGTCTGCAGGTGAGGTGTGCCCGGCTGCGGGGCTGCTATAAGGACACAGCGCTCCAGCAGCTCTCAGGCCGACCCTGTGCTGCCCGGGGGTGAGTTTAGCCAGGCCGGGCCCGGGGGCAGCAGCCGGAACGTGAAGCGCTGAGCGGGGCCGGGGGGAGCGCAGGAGATGGGACAGACGCTCCCTCTCTGCCACGGTGAGAAGAGAACCCGCAGGAATTCCGTCAGGCTCTCTCCTGCCGGGACTCAATTTGTAGCTGGTAGATTTACGGCCAGGCCGCCTCCCCGCTCCGCGCTGCCCCGGCGGGGCGGCCGCCGCCAGACAAAGCGGCCCGCGAGGCCAAAAGCTTATTGTGATGCTAATTGTTCTCAGCTGAGCCCGTTTGCCCGCGGCAAAGAGACGCTATTGAGGCAATTTGTTGAACAAAAGAAATTTGGTTATTGGAAACAAAGCTGCACGCACAAACAACTCTCCCCCCCACGCAACAACCTCCCATTCCCGCACCGCAAGGAAAGAGGCGAGGGTGGGACCTGAGCGGCTGCGGCAGCCCGGGGTCCTCTCCTCGCTGCTCGGCGGCCACCACGGGGACCCCCTTCCTTCCCCCATCCCCTTCCTGCGTGCTGCCCCCTGCCCGGGGGGCGTGGGGTGGGCTGGAGTGGGGCAGCCCCAGCTGGGACGCGGAGCCGGTGCTGCGGCTCTGGCCATGGTGCTGAAGGCGGTCGGGACACGGCGCGTTGTCCCCTCGACGGGGCTCAGCCCCCGGGCTCTGCCCGAGCCCAGCCGGGGTGATGCTGAGCCCTCCCCGATGTGTCTCTCCCGGGAGCTGCTCGGTGCTGTCCGTTCAGGTGGGCTGTGGGAGACATCACCCAGGAGAGGCTGGCACGGCCCCGGTGCTAACCAGACACTGCAGACCAGAAAACACACGGGGCTGGGTGGGTTTTGTAGAAGCAGCGACTCGTGCACTTGATCCAGCCTCGTTCAACAAAGTGTCCCACGGAGAGGAGCTGCAGGTGTCCCACGCAGGGAGAAGGGAGCAAGGGCACCACGGTGCCAGTGTGAGCAGATCTCACTTTCTACTTGATCTTTTTTGGAGATCTGCACTTTCTGCTGCCTCCTGGGACCCGTCCATCTATGCAGAGCCCCCCTCCTTTGCCTATTTACTGCTTTGAGAAGAAACACCTGCATTGCTGGAGAAACACAGGCCGTGGGGCAAGGCTGAGGACTCGGAAAAGGCCGTGGGGGCCTATCCCTGCGTGTATTCTTATAGTCCTGAACGTGATCTATCTGTGTCGTAGATCAGATAGGCAGAATGAAAGACCTAATAGTATCCCTGCCCCTTCCCCCGCTTTCTGGCTGAATTGTGTATTGTTTTCCTACTCTAACTGTCTGCAAAGTGCTCCAAGGCCTCTGTGTGTGGCCACAGGCGAAACACCGTCATTATTTGGGTGATAAAATCATTTAATGTTTTCCCTGCTAGTGCAGCTCCACTCCGATATCTCCCTGCAGGAGGTATCATGTTGCCTTCACTATCTGCATGTACCGTGAGACTGAGAAGGATCACGACACCCTTACTTATCGGCAAAAGTAGTATTTTTGCAAAAAATGGCAAAAGAGAACTCAGGGTGGACAGAGGCAAGAAAGGGAGCAAGAAGAGCAGGACAGTCCAGAAGAGCAGGTATTACAAAAGTTCACAAAGATGTCTGTACTGCTGTATTTTCAGAAAGGGGTCACTAGAGTGGGTTTTACTGCATTGCTGATTCTTTTTCCTGGAGACTTAGGATGCTTCTGGTCTTCCAGCCATGGGGCTGTAGGTTGGGGGTGGATGGAAGGGGGGGGTGGGGTGTGGGGTGTGTGCAGATTTACTACCTCTAGAGAACTAGTGACTTCTTTAGGGGCTTGAATGCATTTTTTTTTCTTTGCCTCCACATTATTAGGTTAATCATTGCTTGAACTGGTTGCTATGGTTTTAGCAAACCCATGGAAACTTGATAATGAAGACTGAAAGACTCCTTTTCCATTTATCTTTTCTCTATGTTTAGTGCATGATGGTCTCATTTCTCTTGACGGGGCTGTCCCAGTGCCAGTGCCCAGCTTTTATGACCGCGGCTGCTGCAATGGCCTCCGGACTTTTTGATGTGGGAGAAACAGGTGGCTGCTGGGACCGGGGCTGTTTCAGAGGCTCAGGCTTGTGCCCTCACATACTTGCAGGCGACAGGATGAAAACCAACTTAACCCGGGCCCTGCCACGTTTGCTTGCTGAAATCCCACGCTAGGTGAACTCAACTTTTATTTTTGCAGCCAGGGAAGAATGCTTCACTATGATCTGGTGTTTTCAGGCCCTCAACATTCAGTTTTAGGTCTCCTTCTGTTTAAAGACAGTCTAAACATCAGTTAGACGTGATGATTTTAAAGGTCTTTTCCAACCTTAACAATTCCACAGTTCTACGATTTTTTGAATATGTGATATTATTATTTATTACAGAAATAAGGAGATTTTATTCCTGTCTCGCTCTGAATCTTCCCTCTCTTCTTCTGTGGCTTTACAGGTATTCAAGCAAACCCTGGCTGTGGAGTCTCCTACAACTGTCTCACCAACGCTCTGCTCTAGTCAAGGTTAAAATGGGGGGGGGGGGGGGTTAAGGATAACAAACAGCTGAAAACAGAGGCTGTAAATTATTTACATGGTTCAGAGAGGCCAGGCTCATTGTCAGGGCCAGGGAAGGGGAAACACCCAGGTCCTTTCCTCAGCAACAGACTCATCCCCCTCCTCCTTGCTCCTGGTGGGCTCCCTCGTGGCTGAAGGATGGCAAGAAAATGAAGGTGATTCCCATAATCCCAGGGCAATTCCTTTGACCTCAGCCTCCTCTCTGTGCTCTAAGCAAGGCTCTGAGTGAGTTGCTTGCTGCCCTCTCACACTGGGGACGCAGTGTCCCCCAGTGTCCCCCAGAAGTGCTCCTGGGACAGGATGCTCGGCTGGGGCTGCGCTGCCCGCACGGTTCGCTGTAGCCGGGCTTGCCGGCAGAGAAAAGGCGAAGAATCGGGATTCTTTCACATCATCAGCCTTCAAAAGTCTGCCTTCCCCCCCCTCTCCTCCCGGCTATAATGACAATCCAAAGAGTTCCTGATAGGGTTTTAAAAGATGCTTATTCATTCACCGTCCACCAAGCATGAAAATCCAGCTCATTTGTTCATTTGTAGCCATTCTTCGCCCAAACGACCCCACAGGGGCTGCAGCCTGTTGCCGAAAACTTGTCACTCACACTTTTAACTTCTTTTTGTTGTACTTCTCTTTATTTCATTCTTCTGGGTCCCCACCTCCGCCACCACCCCACCCTCTCCTCCGGTCACAAAGGCAAGTCTGGGAAGCTCTTTAAAGCTGCAGTGCCCCCTTTTAAAATCAATACAAAAAAAAAAAAAAAAAAAAAAAAAAAGAGCAATGGCTGAAAGGAGATCCCAAGTTTGTGTAAGGAAGGGGGAAACTCCATCCTCTCTGCACAGCATGGATGGGGAGCGCAGGAGGGGGTGTGGTACTGGGTGCCAGTACCCCTAAGCAGCTTTAAGCCTCGCCTGGGCTTCATGTGGCACCCTCACCAAATGAATTGGGCCTTTCTGTGTCAAGGGAAACATAACCTGAGGGTTTAAGGGGCTTTTAAGGAGAGGCCAAAAGCTTCTTGAGGAGCAGCCTGTGTGCCACAGTGCACAGAGCTCTGCTCAGAGGCTGGGCTGATGCGGCAGCACTGCTTTCCAGCAGGACTGCTCTGCACTGCCCTGTGGGAGCTGTGGGCTTCACAGGGCACGTGGAAAGGGCAGACCAATGCACACTCACATTTTGAACCGGGCTAGACTGTGCTGACTAATCTCTGGGCCGGTGCAATGTGCTTGTGAATCCAAGCCCTTGGCTGGCTAGTTGGACTCTTCTCAGCTTAGACCATTTAGTGATGCTCTTCCTTCCCATTGCAGGAGGTGTGTGATAACACCCCCAGCATCTTTCTCCATCCCTGGACACATAGTGTCCTTTGGTGGGTTTTATGGCAAAAGCTCAGTGTTGCCTTTGTTTGGGTCACTCTGCCTCCGTTGTTATTCTCTTACCTGGAACGTCCCTAGAAAACCCGTGCTGGGACAAGCAGGAGTGTGAGTTTTCCCACTAGGAGCTTCCTGCCCCTCTGAGCTTTCTACACCCCCTCAGTGGTGTTTGCTGGGGATGAGACATTTGGAATCTCCTCAGCTGCCCCTTCACTGCTGGGGATTCTGCCTGGTCAGAGCATGGGGCTTCTCTCCCTTCTGTGGGAAGGACAAACAAGTTCTGTGCTTAATGGTCCCCACTGATATTTCTGACTGTATTTAACCCTTGAAGCCAGGGGCTGTGCAGCTGCAGCCATGAAGAATAGCTGCCTTTTGTTTTCGTTTCAGCCAGAGCTGTGAGGCTTTACCTCATTTTCCTGGGGCCTCAGATGTGATTTTGTCTGGATTTTGTGCAGCTCTGCCTGGAGCTGGCCCTGGCATGGGGAATCACATCTCCACCTTCAGCCTAAAGGCTGTGGATGAAATGTGGGCTGCTTGCCCAGGTTCAGCTAGTTATTTCAGATCAAAACTGCAGGGAAATTCTCTCTCCCCTCCTTCCCACCCCATGCTCACAAGTGGAGCTCATTTCCTCTCCTAAAGGCACCACATCCCCAGTTCACAGTACACAAATTTCAGTGGAAAATGTTGCCACCAACACGCCCTGGTATAAAGGGTGGTCCCCTCTGCAGGGCAGGGGCAACAGCATGAGCTGA